AAGATTAAATATTGGAAACATTTACTATAATGATTAACACGTTGACTGCCACAGTGAAAAAGGCCGTACGTAGCCAGACACACTGTATTTCATTTTTTAAGTCAATAAATTGTCGAAAATATTTCAGTTTAGTTAATAGAGGCTGTAGGTCTTGTTTTAAATTATACTGTGATATTAATTTCATGCAAACAATTTATAACAGTGTTTAAATAATTCAGACACTTTTCAATGTACGTGTCACCCATATTTGGGTGACGTGGCAGTCAAAGTGTTAAATATTGATAACAGCGAAATAGCAGTTTATTTCGTTCGATACGTTTAGTTTGAAATCAAGGGGGGTAATGAAATTCAATCCAAAATCACGATTGGGAATGTCGTTAGCTGATGTACGAATATTCATCTGTATGTTTCCTTTGATCCGATGCGGATCTTGAGATCGAAGGGGAGATACGCGGTCCCGGAAAATCAACACGAGCGATCAGAGGCTCAATCACATTCGAGTTCCGTCGCTCAATGAACCCCGTGCGCCACGAATGCATCGTAGTGGAACATCGTACATTGCGGAGCTAAGCATGATAAATCTTCCGGCATTACGTGAAACAGGACGAATATATTCGAGGGAAAGCCGATCCTCTGTATTCCGGTGCACGTATTGGAGGTTATTTTACCAGACGAGAATAAATACTTTCTGCTGGGTAAAGTGACTTTAGAACGACGGGGAATCAGTGAAAACCCGTATAGTATGTCCTATTGGCTTCATTTAGCGCAAATATAGTCAAAAGTCGTATTTGTAAGACCTACTCTGTTGCTCGTAGATGCAAGTTATTACATATAACAACTAAATAGGAGATATATTCTCTACAGTATTTCATTGCTTAATACAAGGCAAGGGGTTAAATTGTACTGCGATATTAATTTTACGTAAACAGTATTTAAATAATCCAGCCCTCTTTATAATATACGTGTTACCCAGATTTGGGTGACTTGGAGCAATCAAAGTGTTGAAATTATTTTCGTAGATATATAAGTTGTGAAATAATATTTGTATTCCGACGATGAAAAATCAGCATCGGTCGTACGAATGTTCAGTTAAACAACTACATACCTACGATCTCTTTCTTCCAGTCCCCACGAGATTTCCGTTTTTTCCTTTTACTCCCGACGGTCCACCTATCGTCGCATCCATCTTCGTAGCTGCGTTTTACATTCCACCGAAAACCGTACTATTCGCCGCATAAAGAAAACGGGCCACGTGGTACATCAGGCGACGCGCGAGGATTTATTGCTAATTACTTTTCTATGCTGACCTATACGCGGCTCGTCCTCCTGTCTCCATAACCCCGCAAATTTATCGCCATTATTTTTCCCGTGGCTCGGAGCTAAATGTACGGGAGCGTTCGAACAATCGCGATATGACACGAAAATGAGATTTATCGCCGGGAATTGTTACACACAGCTGACAACAAGATACCGGGGATGTATAAACAGGAGCAACGAAATTTACAAGGTGCGATAATGCGGCTCTGCTTGCCGAGTTTCAAACGAATCTGCAGATATGATATTTAACAAAAAATATTCGGGGATTAACCCACCCTGACCGCTTGAAAATCATAGGTATCTTCGTGAATTTTTTCTGAAAATTCAATAAAGTAAATTGTAAATTATTATAATTATATATTTTTTCCAGAAGAAATTTGCTAGGGAAGTACGTGGGATTTTTTGTTGCGAAATTATTTTCCCTTAGTATAATCTAACGTCTATCGATAATCATCGATAATTATCGACGTTCAGTCAGACCATTGATCCATTAATTGGCACTCGTGTACGTCCCCGAATACACGCTAATCACGCGCGTATCAATTTCGTAAATCATCGAAGACGCGACGTGGTGGGGGGGGGGGGCCGAATTAATATTATACCCGTAATTGCAATGCGAAGTATTCAACTATGACGATGGATCGTCAGTGGATCCATTTAATGCCTCACAAGCATCCGCTCTGCTGATCCGCAAATTCGTCCAATTAATCGCGGTTCTAACAGTAACGAACCACCGGTCCCGCCCGTAATGGCGGCCCCTCGCCAACACACTTCGCTAATAGCAATAACATTACTCGTTCGCGGCTAATTTATCGCCGGGCATCGTGACACGCCAAACGTTTGACGCCTCGTCAACTATTAACCGACCACTGTTTTCAGACAATCGTGAATCACTGGAACATCGGTTGAAATAATCATAGAACGTAAATGAACGTTCACAGAATCGTTCCATTTCACTTGTCTGACCAATAAGTCTTCATGTACGTTCCCTCTGATCAGTAACATACTTTCGTACGTGTTTCATGCAGACAGGACAATCGATAACTGCTGGTACAATAGAAAAGGGGATGATTCGACATAAAAGTATAAGTCTAAAATAAATAATAAAATTGTTTTATTTGAGACTACGTTTATTGAGAAAATCGACGTTTAATTGAATAGGATTTTCCTTAACGCATCCGTTTCTACTAGAACAACAAGGATCCACTGTTAAGTTTGTGTTTTTGGTGGGAGCTGGCCGCGTGTAAATTTCGCGGACAAAACGAGGTCACTCGGTCGGATTGCCGTTTATCATAACGAGTTCCACGCACGGCTGGACGCAAAACCGGAAACTCCGTAGTATCGAACTCTCGAGGACCGGCTGGATCCCCGTACGATAATTAACGTTCGTCACAGAAATGAAACGGATGCCGCGCACTCGAGAGCTGCTCGAACGTGGCGGAACGGGCAATAACGTTACACCTGTGTGCGCGTACGTGGCGCGTTCGGTGACCGCCATTGGTGCAGAACAGTCGCCGGGACAAATTCATTCGTTATTTCCGGCTCGGTTGCCAGCTCGGCAGAAACTGCCGTCCCGGAATTAGCTGACCGAAAACTGGATCTCCTCCGTGACGCGAGGCGTGTCCCGCTGAAAAATATTTCGCCGTGGGGAACGCCACCGAGGGCACCGGCGCATCGTTTAATCGTGGAATGCACCGTATAATTGCCGTCCGTAATTTTTACGAGTGAGACCGGATACGGTGGGAAACGCTTTGATCAACAGGAAGTATAACTTTCGTAACGTTTCGAATTAATAATTCGTTCGCAAGGCCGGTGAAACGTTTCGTTAGAGTTTGTAATAATTACAGGGAGCTCGTCTTAACAGAATTTTACCGTGGAAGTGGAATAAAAAAGGGGGTTCAAGATAGAGACCAATGAACGGTAACACGATAAGTAAGTACAGTAAATCGTCGATGAATGTTCCAAGGCTCCTTGGCACTGACAAGGAAAAGTCTCCAGGTGTAACGCTGACTTTTTAATAATGTTTACCACAGCGGTGAAAAATTTCCTTTATACCATTGAATAACCTGGCCATATATCCCAAACACTGTAGCTAACGTGTCAGTTTACTGCGAGTAATCACAGCTGAAACCTCGTGCCATGGCAACTCTCACAAGGCGCCTCTCGCGTTTCGAATTACGGAACAACCTATGTAGAATAGGTACATGATAGGGAAGGGTAGAACAGGCTTGGAACAGGACAGGCATGTAGGATTGGCATTCTACGTGGCAATTATGTAGAATAGGTCAGTGTGTAAACAGACAAATAGCCTTTAGGGAGACAGTCGGATACATGTCGATGGCAAGATAAACATGTAGAACACAGACTGTACATATTTGGACAAGTAGAAGACGTCTAAATATTGTCTCCAACAGTATCACTCACTCTTCCAACTATTCACAGAAAGGCCAATGTATTTTTTCACCAATTTGCCACAACGAAATCGTTCAAGTCCATAATGACTGTGAAACGTAGATGCTCTTAAGCGTCCCAAGATGAAATTGCTAAACGTCGAACCCTCATAAAAGCTCGTGTGTCATAAAGCGCGGCTTTTCGGCCGGACGAAATTGAAACACCCGCCAAATCGTCGGCGGCCAATATGAAAGCGCAGGAGAGTCTCTTCGGGCCGTGAACGGTGATCGATTTCTATGAACGATCCGGAAATATCCGCGCCGGTCCGGATGACCTTTCCAATCCGATTGATTCCCATCTAGGTGTGCGTGCGATATGTAGAAATTTGAAGGGGGGAGTGGGGAGGGTTCGAGGTGCAGGATGAAGGATATTTCGCATGGAAATGAATCGCGATCCGGGGGCCAAAGTGGCTCTCGTCCATCGACGGATAGCCGCACACGCCGGGCAATAATTCTGAAAAATCGTTCCGTTCCTCTGTGCTTGGTCTGAGATTTCAACGCATAAATCGTCCTCGTGCCCGCTATTCGTCCTGGATATATCGATGTTTGCAAGTGTTCCACCAGAGATATTACAATCGTATATTCTCGATGTATTGATACAAAATGGCTTTGCGTGCCCGAGAAGCTTATTGGCTCTCTTACTTCACTCTGTGATCCAGTACCGGTTTACGTATACACGTGATATGGTAGGGCATTCTATACAGATAGCTATTATTATTATTTATTCGTTTATTTATTTAACGAGCAAACGCGATGAATCATTCGGCTAACCCAGGAAGAAAGTTTCACCGAAGCCTGGACATTCTCCTTAATTGTATTCCGTCCATCGATAATCTTTTTTCTCATTTAAATATTCGCGGCAAGGAAAGTTCGTTAAAGACTTCGGTAAAAATCGCGTTAACGGAAGTTAGGATGCTGAATAGTTCACTCTGTAGCAAGCGAGTAATCACATTCACCATGATTTCCCACGAGGGAGAATCTTATAAAGAAATATTCAACCGAGACGGTCAGAAAATAGAGGTTTGACGAATTTAAACCACCGTTCAATTTCCTCGTTTCGTATCGAAGATTAAGGAGGAACGCGTCGATAAAAAAACACCCTGATAACGCGAACGTAATTGGAGCATTGAAGTTACGCAGCTGGCTAACTATGCATAGGGGGGCGTTAGTATTCCGTCGCGTGACCAAACGGTTAGATCCAATTTAATGTTCTGCTCGCTCCTTGGATTTCAGATCTGGACACGATGCTATATGGGTACACGAACAACATATACGTGCTGGACCACACGCCCGAATCCTTGCCGGTGAGTATGATTCAGCACACGGCGGCCAATTAGACGCAACTGTTATTGCGGATTGCGTTCCCTGCTGTACGCGTGCTTTTAAGTTGATTGCGGAGACTGTAATTTGCGCGACACGTACACTCGGTCGAAATTGATATATCAGTGAACAGAGGCACACATAGACACGTTTCGAAATCGAATGATTCGACGTCGATGGAACCGAGAAGTTTTAATAGTTCATCGGGGCAATCGTGACGTGTGCACAATGCAATTTTCAGTGATGAGCTGTTTAATTATTAGTCTGTGGATTTTCATGCAGATTGGCATTTTATAAAGTAATTCAAACAAATATACGAATTTCTTTTTTTTTTTTTTTGTTAAATATGTTCTTGGTTTCTCGTTGGATCTAATGAAATTTTTGTCTTTTATTATATTTCACAGAGTTCTATGGGCTATAAATGCATAGAATCCGTAGACCATTAATTACTTTTTAGACAAATGTTACTGATCACGAGCAGTCATTGATGGATCGTAAGTGATAACATTGAACCCGATACCTAGTGCAAAAAGTGGAAAAGAGAATTTAGAATTAATTGCTCCGGGAGAGATATTACAGACCTCTGTCAACATGGCTGACCATTCCTCGGTATTTCTACTTGCAGCACATAAATGTAATGTACATAAATGTTCGCATTAATTTCCATCTATCTGCTTACTGACACGAACATGTGGAGTTTAGTGATATCGACTCCAGAGGACTGAGTAATACCGTACCATTGTCAATATTTGAGACAAGTAGAAGCATCGAGTAATAGTCAGACACACGGTCGAAGCAGCAGCACGCGTCAGTTCGAAACTTCCTGAACAACAAGGCAGGGAATCCACGTAATCTACATTACACTTTCCATCTATTCCGGTACTAGGAACTAGGAATCCCCCTACTCACATTTACGATAAACATAGTTTATTCTTCGTCTCATTTATGACCGTATTTTTTTATCCTCAAAGACAAGTGAGATACTAAAGGTGCTCACCTTATATAGGACACCCTGTATAATCTCCTCCATGTATCGTGTGTACAGAGGGCTGAATGTAATTCGCAGGAATCTCGATCCGATGGTGACATAGACATTGAATTACCGGTATCTCAACGTACTAGAATTGAATCGATCAATCAGTCGTCCGTTCACGGTAATTAGGTTGCAGGATAAAGTGTTTATCCGGCCGGTGTAAGCGGGACGCGTTTCTGTTTCGTGCGGAACCTCTTGTTCGGCCACGGATAAATTTATTTCGGCTCAATTACAGTGCAGTATGTAGGGGGGAGGGGGAGGCTTAGAAAAATATTTTACTTGCAGAAACGATGTGGGAAAATTAACACCGATAGAAGCCACCGGGGGCGAGCTTATTTATTCGCGACCGAGAGCAGGGTCTGCTTCGATATTTGAGCACGTTTATCGGGCCACGGTTTGCGGATTTCCGTGGACACTTCGCGAGAGCCCGGCCGCTTTAATCGGTCCGCAAACCGAGTTACGATAATTCGTGTGTTCCTCTGTCGACGATAGTTCGGAATGGTAATAACGTCGGGATAATTGATGATTAAGGCCAGAAGCTTTTGATTCGAGTCGATTACGTTTAAGGGGTTGGCTTACATTGACCGCTTCAAAATCATAGGTACCTTTGAATTTTCCTGAGTATAAAATAATATAAAGTGGAAATCAGTTACGACGCTTGTAATATTATATGTATGTTCAAATATACAAAAATATTGTTTTCATATAAAATGGCGGTGCTGATACCACTTCTGTAGAGCACCTTTCGGGCGACTGTTTTCTAGAAGAAATTTGAAATAAAAATATGTACATGTATTTTACAGACTTTGCCATTCATTTCTTGTTTTCTTCGTTGTATTCCCAGAAAAAATTCAAAGGTGTATATGATTTTTAAGCGATCAGAGTGGGCTAACCCCTTAAGTCGAACTACCACTAAACGAATAAGGGGGTTGTGTCTGACTAATACTAGTTATTTCTACTTGTAAAGAAGAAGTATCTCTTTTCTGTCGATAATACTAGATCTGTCTATTAATGTATATTAACGTAAACGAGTAATACTGTATTTATTAACATTTAGTTAGGCGAAAATAATAATGGTGTGGTAGTCTAACAAAAGATCGAATACTTTAAGGCACGGTTGTATACACTGAAGTATATCTTATTTGAAGAAGTTTTTCTTACTTCATTCTACCTTCTCGACCACGTTTCCTCTCGGAACTATCCAATCAGGGCACATAGTGTACAAGACCCTGACAATGCTCGCCAATACATAAAGAAACTTCGAATACCCGGTGCCCGAGGTTTGAAACTCGGTTTCGCTTCGAAAACCATCCCAGCAAGAAAACTTCCATGAAAATAGTCAACCGCGGTTTCTGTGGTAACTTCAATATACACGGGCTCGTTAAAGGATCCCCCGTATTCAAGAACATTTGCCTTCAAAAACGAAAAATTGCCCGCTGTGATGTGACGGGTAGGAGCACGCAGAATTTCTTAATATAAATAACACTTCATAGACAATAATATAATCTTTATTGTAGTGGGATAACTCCTGTCAACTGATGAAAATAAGTCCTACTAAACATAGATCGAAAAATTGTTTATAACCTTGAAAATATTACCTTTTCGACCCATGGTTTATTACAACATTGTTTCATCATTCGACGAGTACTATCTACCGTAGAAATTATGAACATCCTTCTAATTTCATTACAAGCGTTCTCGTAGCTTTCAATTCCAAAGAAAAAAAAAAAAAGAAATTCTTCACTCTCGCGAAGATATAAGAAAGAATTTTTAGATCTCCAGGGTTTTACAGTGTCGCCGGGAATTCAGCTCGCATGCTGCCTCCAACAGAAATTTTCCCCAGAAAGGTCGGTGTTAACTTGTCCCTTCTGTTCCGGCTATTTATCAGGGTCGAAGGACTCACGGCGAGTTGGCCAGCTCCTGGAAATACGAGAACAGCCGGGAATACGTTTCCCCGGGGAGCTGGAACTAGAGTCTAGCCGACGCGTCCGATACATCGAATCAGGTTGCGAGTTGTTATCTACCAGCATTTGATCTCCTTGCCATTTCTCGTCCGCCCTTTTGTCTGCTGCACAAGATCCTAGGGGGAGATGATGTGTTTTTGTCCGGAGACTGGTCCTTAGTCACAGTGGAAGTAAGGATCTTCCTTGGAAGGATAAAGGAACCGTTTTTTCCTTGGGGAAGATAATTGCGACGAGATAGTCCTCGGAGATCAAATTCTTCTCTCTATCTGTATCACGGTACGGTTGTTTTCTTCTTTTTCTTTTAATACTCGAAAGAAATCATTCAACTATTGGAGGAACAACGTGAATTGAAGATCGAAGTTAACGATTGAATCGATTGGTCCTCTGGGACCAGAGACGAATCCCAATTTATTCCAGAAGGGACAAAAAATCGCTGAACCTTCGTACACATACAAATGTTTCATTTAATTCTCGTTGTTCACTGGTATTTTGTAACATGATGGAATTCATTCTAACATTTTTCGTAATTTGATCATCGTGTAGATCATTCTGTTATTTGAAAAAGGAATATTATGATCGAATTGACTACTATTTCGATTTGAGAGACGATTGAGGGATAACAAAATGTTGTTCGATATTTGTACAAGTATTTAGGTAAACTTTTAGTGTTCTTAACTATGTAGAAGCTGCAGAACCAGTCACGTTTTCTTTACCGATACGTCTCAAACGTGTCCAATTCGGCCAGACTGGTCCCGAAATGGCACGAAATCGCTGCCAGTCTCATGAAACTTTAATCAACGGTAGAAACTTCGTGGCTCCGCGACATGAACTTCAACTGGACAGACCAAATATTAACTCTCGGTGTTGCTCGGGTAACTAGATCTTCGTCTTGCCTTTTATCAAGAAAAAAATAAGTAACTGGAGATTTTGTTAGATCATCAAATATATACTCTGAGCAAATTTAAACTGAAGAATGTCAGAGTTTGAGAATGATTAACACGAATCCATCGTACTTACATTATAATTAGAATCTTCGTATAATGATAGTGCTCCTTAACAGTTAGTCAAAGCATAATGAAGACATTAGTCTTAGGTATATCGCAGAATCCTTCGCGAAAGTCTCTAATATATTTCTTCCAACACAAATACTCTCCACTTTAATATTGAACCAGTTAACGAGTTAACGACAGAACCTTTTAACCAGTTAAGTGTGTTTGACGTGTATACACGTCGAACCAAATCTTTATTACGGTGCGTTCGACGTGTATACACGTCGTGAGAAATAAAAAATTACCATTGACTATAAAATCTCTAAATTTTAATGAAATCCAATAAGAATATTATTTGATGGAATGTTTCCTTTATATTACCAATAGAACTGCTGAGTATTTTATACAGAGGGGGTGGTGGGATGATAAATAAAAATGAAGTTCTTCCTCGTTTTTCATAAAACTTATAATAGGACCATTTTCACGTCATAGCCTGATTTTAATTCCGCACACGGTGGAGGGTTTTTAAAACTAAATTCCACGCTTAACTGGTTAACCCCTTAACACTAGGTTTACGGACATTTCTTATACTCCTATCTCTACGGACACGAGTCAGCGAAACTCCACATTTTCTTTAAAAAATCACTTATTTTTTTTAATACTCAATTTACGATAGCATCACATTGTCGCGTATCCGTAGAGATAGGTATATCGCATAGAGAATTTCGAGATTAGAAGGCTCGAGAAACCATACGAATGTTTTTAGTTTAGATACGAAAATATCTACTTTTGTATCAATTAATTCTATTAAAACTTCCGCGTGTCGTATGGGAGAAATTATACTCATTTCCCGACAACCGTCGACGGTAATAAGTCACGGTACTAGGTCAGCTTAAGAAAATACGATTCTTTGACAATCCGGTCTCCTCTGAGGAACGATGGAAACGGGGCGACTTTACCGGGGCGCCGCGTGCAAAGGCCTCGTCACCGGTTTCCTTTGAACGCTTCTCTCTCTCTCTCTTTTCCTTTTTCTTTTGCGAAACAGGGTGACTTTTTGGCGTGGCTCATCGCGGCTTCGTTAGAAAATCCCTTTCGCCCCGGGGGTGTAGCCGTTTGCGTTCGCAGCGGATGGTCTCAAAGAGTTCCTGGCCGATGCGAAACGAATGAGACAGCGGAAAGAGACGAGATACCCCGCGAGTACGTCTTACCTCGTTAAGTGAATAATGCTCTTTCGGTGCAACGAGCTCCTCCCCCCATGGCGAACTGACGAAAGTAGATGCGGAAACGTGAAAAAGGACCGGGGACATCTTCGACAATGGCTAATCGAATCGTCTTCGTGACCGTTCGTGTTATGGAACTCGGTGGAATTCAACGTTTATAGATGCGAACGAATATTTTATTGTTAACTAATATATAATGACTAATTGCATATTATGGTCAACTCTTAAACTGTGAGGGGATGTCTCTAAGACCTAATTGAAATCTTTGAATACAGTGTAGGTATTATTCGATGAACTGATTTGATAACTATGAATTGATTAACACGTTCCGTGCCACAGTGAAAAAGGCCGTACGTAGCCAGACAATCTTTATGTCGTTCTTCAAGTCATAAATTACCGAAGATGTGTGTCTTTTGTTAATAGAGGCTGTTGGTCTTGTTTTAAACTACAGTTCAACATTAAGACGTTCAGTGCCATATGGTACACGTTAAATTCAGGCTGCGTGTACCACCGGTGGTACATTTGGCACGGAATGTGTTAAAGAAAAATTCTGAAAATGAGAATTTTCATCGAGATATTCTCTTCGGATGATTATCCATCGGACTGTACTACAATTCCGACCGAAAGTTCTGAAATAGTATTCGCGTATACATGTTTCTCGGTTTATGAATTATTTATCTAATAATGTCTGAGTGATTCTCTCCGGGCCAGAAATAGCAAAAGAATCCGAGAGACGTTCAAGTTCCTAATAAATCCTCCCAAATACGGAAATCTTGGGGAATACCGTGGCGATCGAGAGAGCCCGCGGGCCAGAGAACGAACGTTGATTAAATTTCGCGTGGACAGAAGACGGGCGTGCTTAATTATCGATGCTGGGTCATTAAAACTCTCGTTCGCCACACCGACGCGTACACGGGACAAACGATCGTGGTTAACGGTATTACAATGCGAACGCCGGGGGATCGTTTCACCGGAAGAAAATAATTGGAACGATTCCCAGGTTTACGAGCGAAGAAACATTCCGTGATACGCCATGGATCCTCTCGTAGCCTCGTTAGATCGTCAGGGGGTTGTTAGAAAAATTCAGTGACACGTGAAGACGCGTTAATGTAGGTACTCGTGCGCGCTTTGGATGTAGTGTTCTTAACGAACGTGGTGAAAGGGGACTGGACGAGAGTCCCAAAAAAGTTCCAAATCTGATCTGAATGCAATTAGTGGAGATAGAATCAAATTATATTAGATTTATCAATAAGCGATTAATTATTTTCTGTTAAATTCAATACTGATTTTCTAGGAAATTAGAAATCCATCCCTTTTCAGTGATATATGCAGCCCTATTTTTAAAAAAGAAAAGAATTATAACATATTTCGAGTTTAAACTATTTTATTATATTATTCAGAAAACAGGAACAGTTGATCATTAATTAATTCTATTCCTAGTAGCCCCCACTAATTCTAAGTAATATCAAAATTTCTCATACGTCTCCAAGAACAATGGTGCTCTAAGAGTCTACTTGCGTTGGGTCGCAACTGATTCTGTCGTTTATTCATTAATTGTTTCAATAAAAAAATGAAGAGTTTTAGAGCCTGGTGGGTTTTACACGAGAGATAATGTGACAACGAATCCCATCGTCGATTCGATGATTATATTTTAATTCGTCGCGGCTTTAACGTATCCGACGCGATCGGTGAATTCCTCTCGAAGGCATGGAGAATCGCGGGCATGAAAAGGAATCGAGAAAATCGCCGCGTTAAAAGCGTTTCCGCCCCGAAGGCCGACGGTTTCCCGCTGTTGGCCACCACGTAAACGTCCACGAAAAGGTAAGATGCGCTTTTACCGGGGGGTGTTCTGTTACCCGAACCTACCCCGTGGCTTTAACGCGCGTTCAAACGATCCACCCCCATGAAAAGGATCCCGAGAACGGTTTGCGAAACTCGACACGAATTGAATAGATTCGGGAGCAGCTTGAGAAAGTTCATTCGTTACACCTGCTCTCGGTAACTACTTTCAGGTGATCTTTACAGATTTCTGCCGATTTCGATTGATTCGCGGTGTCTTTTCAACTGGTAGCTCGACTACCTTAATTGGGAATAGAAATTTTCTCGTCTGAAGGGTTTATTAACCAGTTAAGCGTGGAATTTAGTTTTAAAAACCCTCCACCGTGTGCGGAATTAAAATCAGGCTATGACGTGTATACACGTCGAACGCACCGTAATAAAGATTTGGTTCGACGTGTATACACGTCAAACACACTTAACTGGTTAAAAGCGAACATCGAGACGACGTACCGCGTCGAACGCGTTCGATCTGTGCCGGAGCAATAGGGTAGACTTCGCTCTGAAATGCGGTTACCATGAATGTTCAATGGCTGATAATCACCCTCGACCGCAGGACATGGACATGCTGCAACTGTTCGCCTCGCCAGCGGGTCGAGCGCTGCTCTCCAGTGACAATCGGCCGAGAGGATCGACGTCGACCTCCTCCTTGTCTCGAGAGTCCTCGTCGAGGCTGAAGAACGGCAGAAGACCATCGGGCACTGGTACAGTCAGCGCACCGACCTCGCCGCCGAGGCAACGGAAATCCAGCGCTGAACTGTACAAAGAGGCCGTCGAGATACTTGGTCTCACCTGTTCGTTGACTGATAGCTGCCGATGCATCGACTGCCAGGTGATATTCGTTCTCTGTCTCTCCGATATTTTATATACAATTCATGGAAGACTTCTTTCATCTCCCACTCTGAAAACAATACCATATCCACCAGCAGAACAATGTCCTCTTTCTTCTTCAATTTTGCGAATCGAGAAAAGAATTCCAGAAAAGAAGATATTATAATAAATCAACGTGGATGATCCTCGAAATTTGCCGGACACCGTGTCGATTTAGAAAGTAATTGGCAAACATTCGTGATAGAATAATAGAATATCGTCGAGGCTCGAATATACTTTCGTCGATCGACATTTCCCGCGTAAATATTCGACCGCGCTAGTGTTATCAGAGACGCATGGTCCACCGGTGTTCTCGTTTCGGAACGCTAATGGAAGAGAATGAAACGGGAAGGAGGAATGGAAACCGTTGGTCGAATTTAATTAAAAATTTTATCGCTTTGCCCTTCGGCTTTTTTGTGTTCTGCATGATTACAGGGAGAGTTCGAGGACCTAATGAAACGTTTCCTGTTTTGATTTCTGATTGATGAGATTTTCTGGATTGTTCTTCTGTTAATTTTAGAGCTTCTGGATACTAGGCTTTCAGAGTGATGTCATTTTTCTGTCGAAATTTTCAGGATGTAAGATCCGTTGAGCAACGGATTTTAATGTCAAATACCCTTATGAACTAGAAAAGTCAAAGTTTTTTGTCTATAAGCTTTCAAGATTAGATCCTGATCCTTAAAAATTGAAGCCTTCCATTCTCCAGCTCCAAAGACCTAACTTCCCGAAGAATTTCATAACTAGGCTGCGGATTTAATGCATTTATAGCATAAAAGGGCTCTGTGAAATGCAGTGGAATGGTAAATTGTCGATGAACGTTTGAAGGCTCCTCGGCACTGAACATAAAATATTTCCTCGTTTTCTTCAGAAATCCAAGATCCATCGCTGTGCTAAACCTCATTAAAAAAAGTACCGAGAGGAACCTTCGAACACTCATCGACGATTTCCTGTATATCTCATTTTATTTTTAACACGTTAAACTCCTTATAAGAACAAAGATGTTTCTATTTTTAATTCTGCCTTTGTAAATTACTTTATAAAATTTCAATTCGGACAAATATCTAATGCAACATCCCTACAACGAAAAATCAGACTATTCTTTGAAAGCTCATAAAATTTCGCATCCCTTTTCTCCATGCTCTCGGTTCCTACCATCTCCTATGAAACCAAAAGAAAACAATTCCACGAAGAACACTTCGGAATCAGTCCATTGTCATTCGAAGATCATATCTGCGATCTTTTCATTCTCATCGAGTAGTCTCGATCGATGTTGTAACCTTGACCACTGTATCCCCTGATTTCCAGAGCAATTACTTCGACTGCGACGACGACTGCGGGGAGGCGAGAACGGAATTGGCTGCGGGCACTCCTATTCTGCTGGACCACGCTCTGTCGCATCCGTTGACGTGTTCCATACAGTAGCAGCCGAACTGTCGCGTAAACATTCCGAAATCGGCCCACTTGTTAGAACGCCCCCTACGGCGACCACGAACACGGAGACACGTCATCGAAACGTAAGGATCACGAGGCGACGTCTTTGATCATCTCGAGGCGAACGATCGACGGGAAAATCGCGTGAACAGAAAGTTGAAAGAGTCGACAAGAAAAACTTCACCAGGGTGGACAAAACCGCCGTACGCTTCCGCGTCTTTGATCGGAGGAACGATCGACACAGCCAAAATGATCGTGAAACGGCGAGAGCTTGCACGACGGTCTTGATACTCACGCTTCATCGACCAGTACCGAGCTTGTTGTATTAATTCTATTCGTTATGTTTCTGGATAAATACCTACTCGTGTCGGTTCAGTATCCTGCGGATGTTTATGCATTTGTAGCATCATTTAACTTGAGAAATGCAATAAAATGAAGGTTTTAATAGGTAGTAAAGCCTCTAGCAGAGAATTCAAAATTCTGCTCCGTTTTAATTTGTGGGTATTAATATCTGAAATTGTGAATTTGCATAAACTTCCGCAGTCTAGTGTTCAGTTTCGTGTGTACGTACCGATGCGTACGAATAACTTTTTTAACCCGTTCACTGCATCTTTTTGGTATCTTGTATCTTCAATCTTGTCTATTTAAAACATCGTTTTATAAACAATGTGCTTGCTCATGATAAATAACGAACTAGTAGTCACAGTAACACCGTTTTTCTAATGTTTGGATGTCGTTTAAAGAAGTTTCGTACCATCGAGCGACCAAAAATGTTCCAGATATTGATACAGTGATAAAGTATGCGTTTACTGTAATATACAGGTGCAGTTAGCGGGTTAACAGGAACCTTTGTAACGATTTGGATAAGTGTATTCTGAGTTGTATTATTTCCGGATGCGTATGCAGACGGATAATGGAACGGTTGGAATGTGTAATCGCCAGGAATATCTCGTCGAAAGAAAAAAGAAAAAAATACCACGAAAGTTCCGCAGATAGAACGTTGAAATTCAAGTAATTCCGTATGCATACGCGTGTACAGGTAATAATAAGATATAAGTTTGTAAGGTGTTTGTATGAAAATTTCGTTCGACCATCGTGCATTTTCCGATCGTCTACCGTATAAGTAATTATAAGCGTAATTATTTGCAGTCGACAGATGTGATTCGCGGAACAGTGTCAACTGAACTAATGGGTACTCGATCGTTCGATATAATTATGTTCTCTTTTTGTACGAGGACGAAAAACGTGGTGTACAATACTCCCCTCGCGGATATCGATGTGAACAAGTTTCACGTGCTCTGCATTTCACGTTTCTAGATCGTCATCGACCACGCGTAGGTACACATAAATCATCGTTCACGCGATAAACAGAAGAAAAAAAAAATCAAGAATTATTAAATACTCACTGGCCTGGCTCAAGAAATCGGACGAATTTAATCGACGCGGAAACGAGACACATTTCGCCAAAAAACGTCACGCGCCAAACTTCTAATTACGATTAACGATAACGATAATAGTATTAACGGTAAAACTCTAACGGATAATTCCACGACATCCCTGGTCAGAAAGTGTATCGCGATCTACGATCGTTGGCTGAGAAAAAGCTAGAATGGTTTATCGACGTAACACGATGTGTGGATTCTATATTATATGTATGTTATACATATACATACGTGTATACATACGCAGAATATTTACTACACGTTTTATTATTATTGTTATTATTATTATTACAACTTACTCGATTAAGTATCTAATAAAGTGTGTTGTTGAACGTTTGAGCTCGCGAGGAAACTGAAGAGAAGACGAGAAAGAGACGGCATATAGTGTGGGGAAAAAAAATACATTATAAATCGTAATGTTATATGTATTATATTTATTATATATAGCGGTTGTACGTAACGTCGATACGTATATATTGAATACATGTGTGCGATTAAATTTTATAAAATACTGACCTTCTGTTATAAGAGTTTCGCGTTTAGTTACATATTAACGCGTTGACTGCCGCATCGATTCTCCGTTACGGAGGGCATCGTTAAAATTTTAATGAGGACGCAAAGTCACAATTTTTTTTCTCCCGAAACTTCGCGGCTGAGCTAGCACGATTAAGCGTTCTTTACATCGCCACGTATCTCGAGCATTGTGTAACGCAATCCGGAATTTTCATGCGTAATACTTGAAATCGTAAAACTTGCATTGCTAGAGCTCGTTAAAAAGTCAACGTTAAGGGCCTTTCCTTGTCGGTGACGAGGAGCTTTTGAAAACCTATCGAGGATTTACTGTACAATTTATGGAACACGGTGAAAAAGGGACGTTCTGATCCAAGCGAAAGTGACCAGATAATAAACGATATATATATACACTTGTGCCAATCGTAGAGATGTAAATTATATTATAGAGGGATGCGCCAGTCAACGTATCAAGATGTAAATTGTAACTGTAAACGACGTAACGATAAACGAAAGCTAGGCCTGAGTTACATAGGATCCATGGGTGGATTGAAGTACGGTGAGAGCGAAAGGGTAGAGAGAAAGTGGAGTAAAAGGAACGTATCTGTGAATTAATAGGAAGGGAGAGAAAAGATGACGAAAGTGATAGCCTGTAAATCTATGTTAAAAAAGAGAGCGGGAGACTCGCGTTTAAAATCGGTGTAAGTGCCAAACTAAAGTTTAATCGAGGCTCGTAACTTTAGTTCGTTAACCTATTTGCATCCTATGAAAGAAATTACAAAATAGGCCCTTAACGCGAAATCACTTTTTATTAAATTTAATTAAAAATATCTCAGAAAGTACAAGAAACTTAATACTTGATTGACTAGAGCAATCAAGACTAATTGTTTTGTACAATATGAATGCGCGTGCATATACGCTTCCGTGGTAGTGACCAGAAAAGTTGCAATTAAAGGATTCGAGATACGTACTTTTCTCTGAAATTATCGATATAAAGTATATAACAACGTTGCATTATTTTACATTTTCTAGAAATCTTCTCCAATCGACTCTCTGATTCGTTGCCTGAGACTTTATTTTTATCCACAGACTGTTTATTAGTCACTGGTCTGTCTTGGATCTCGTCTGTGATCGAAATATCTCGTTGGAGTATCCGATCGATTACGATACAGCGATGACACAAAGCCGAGGATCCATGAGTATTTTGTTCATCTTTTTAACTAGTTACTCGAACACGTCACTGTTTATCTAAACGTCCCTTGTCGTTGAGCTTTTGCGATGATCTATAATCGATCGAAATACTCGCGTAAGTCCCGAAGCGTTCGCGATCGAATTTTATACATCTCCAGCGACGAAACCGAAGCTTTTTTATCCGTCATCGTATTACGATAGAGACGCGTGCAGGACGAAATCGATGCACACAAGCACGCGCAGGAAAGGGAGACGCAAGGATGCAGTGTTTCTTGAGTCTTCCGGCTCGGTGCTGTCTATTATGAGCTTGAGAATTTTTTTTACACTCTGTTCCTTATTCATTTCTCCCCTCTAATCCTATTCATTCCGTTATTTTTCATTTTTATTACTTGATACAAATTTCTTCTCACTCGAATAAAGTACCTAGGAGTTCGATATTTTTTCCCGTAGGAAATACTAAGCACTTTATTCTAGCAACAGTGTAAATCATCGAGAAAAATGATTTCCTAAATCCTTTCCCGAAATTTCTCTTCGTTTAATGTTAGACAGGAAACAGTATAATTCCAAAAGAAGCAGAAAATATGAACAGCACTGTGGGCACATGAAAGTTCATTCGCGATGTTACTTTTCTACAACGAGGCAAACTATCGACACACGAACATGACGAATTGATATCAACGATCCATAGACTTCTTTACAATGTCGCGAAATTAACAGGAGTATTTTTCATCCTACCACTGACAAGAAAGTTATGATAAATGTCGAATCTTAAATTTATGAATGTTTCTCTGGAAATTTTGTAACGCTCGTTTAGAACCATCCTTTGTGTATTCAGGAATAGATTCACTCCGTGTAAAGAGGATCTACAACGAAGGCTTCATTTACCCGCGTCGGTTCGTCGTGTTTCTAAGGACTTTAAGTTACGAAATATCGCTGCCATTGTTTCTTCTACATCCCCACGATGTACAACGCCGATGTAATCGATGCTGTTTTTGTAACACAATTCATGGGAAAAGATCGAAAACGACAGGTGCATAAGTCCAGAACACTTACGACGGTTTTTCATAGTGAAACGTTCACTCGTCTGCTTGGCAGAGGCAAACTGTAGCGACGTGTTTGTATAATCAGAGTATTATTACCGATGTTATTACGTGTAGATAGGACGGAGATAAGGGATCTTTAATCTGTTATTTAACGAGCGGAAGAGAGTCAATGAAATGGGAGACTGGTTCGTTTTATTATAGTTCCGTTATGTCATACATTCATTTGTGCCAATTAGACTGTGAACGAAAGTCTGAGTATCAAGTATTTCGGACTGTCGACGATATTTCGTTTACTCGTGATACGTTCGATAACATTTCCGGACTCTCTTGCGCTTAAAATGTCTGCGGCCAATCGATTTCTCTAGGGTGATCGTTCCATCGAATTGGCTTTCTCTCATCGACGAAAGTAAAAGCGCCAATTAATTATCTTTCCGAATATTCGAGATACGCGTAACAGACCCTTTTGCGGGGGAACTTAATGGTAAACACGTGGCTTCTAATCATTTTATAGTAATGTAAATCGTAAGCACGGCGAGCAGAATGATTCTCGCGGCGTACTCTTGGATATGATTACCATTAAAATACAATACAACATACTGCTACTTGGTATTACTTGGAAACCTCTTCCCGGTTTACGAACTTTAAAATTCCATATACATACGTGCCCGTTGCATCCCTTTTAAAAATTATATACATTCGATTGCTTAACAATATACGTACAATCTTGTATGAACAATGAAAAAAAAATCAAAATTTTGCTTAACATATTCCTTACAATATTCCTTCGGGCTGTAAAATACGTTTTAATTGTCAAACGAACGGTTGGAAAATTCCTGTGTTTATCATCTTCAGTTTATCGACATGGCTCCTCTACGCATGATCGCGCTAGGTGTTCGATCCTTCATGGAAGCCTTCGCCGACAAGTGCGTAATTACCTACGTATGCTCGATGCATACCTGTATCGGTCAACCTTTCGAAATTCCTCATCCCCGCTCTCCGTATGGAAATATGGCTCTTGTTACAACCCATCGTGTACCCACCCCGAGTATGTGTGCTGCACCAAGCGGTCAATTCCGGCATAATAGAGCGAATTCGAGCTAATCGCAGGTATACGTAAAACATAG